GTGTCGTGGAGGTGAACTCCTTTAGCTTTTTCTTATCTGTGAAGCTCTTTAGCTGACCTTCAATTCTGAATGTCAGCTTGGCTGGATAGGGTACTCTTGGTTGTAGGTTCTTGCTATTTATCACTTTGACTATTTCTTGCCACTCCCTTCTGGTCTGCATAGTTTCTGTTGAGAAATTAGCTGATAATCGTAGGGGTGCTCCTTTGTAGGTAATTAACTGTTTTTCTCTTGCTGCTTTTAATATTCTTTGTCTTTTGCTCTTGGCATTTTATAATAATTATGATGTGTCTTGGTGTGGTTCTCTTTGGATTCCTTTTGTGTGGGGTTCTGTGCGCTTCCTGGACTTATAAGTCTATTTCTTTCACCAGGTGGGGAAAGTTTTATGTCATTATTTCTTCAAATAGGTTTTCAGTATTTTGCTCTCTCTCTTCTTCTGGCACCCACATATCAAATAATTTGGATGTTGGTATGCTTGAAGTTGTCCCAGAGGCTTCTTACATTGTCTTCAAATTTTTGGATTCTTTTTTCTTCTTAGCTTTTCCAGTTGAGTGATTTTTGCTTCTTTGTATTTCAAATCTTTGACTTGATTCTTGCGTTCCTCTAGTTTGCTGTTGGATGTCTGTATAATATTTTTTATTTCAGTCAGTGTATGTTTAATTTCTAGTTGGTCCTTTTCCATATCCCCGAGGGTCTCTCCCATATCCTTGAGGGTCTCGCTAAATTTATCGTCCTTTTCTAGAAAATTCTTGAAAAACCGTGGTATGGAAATCTATCTCCAGTCATTTGTTTTCCTCCATTTCTTTCGTTTGTGATCTGTTTTTCTGTCTCCACATTTTCGCTGCTTCCCTGAGTTTGTAGGATGTCTTTGTGTGTTTGATGTCCTATGTGGGCCAGTGGCTCGGCCTCCCCAATTACCTGAGGTGGACACTTGGTGCACCTCTTTGTGGATTGTGTGTACAGCCTTGTTGTAGTTAAGACTTGATTGTTGTTGGTATCAGTGGGAGCAGTTGACTTCCAGGCCAACTGGCTGTGAGGATCAGCTGTGTGTATGCTGGGAGACAGCCTTATTTTTTTATTTTTATTTTTTTTAATAAAAACTCTTTTTTATTTTATTTATTTTTTTAAATCAACCTTTATTGTTCAAATTACTACAAAGGTTCCTCATTTCTTCCCCCCGCCACCAGGTTCCCACCCCACCCTCCGCCCCCTCCCCATCCCCCATTGTCCTCATCCATAGGTGCAGTTTATGTTCAGTCTCTTCCTCCCTCCCTTTCCCCGACAGTAAATCCCTTTTCAGATAGTAAATCAGTTACTTAGCATTTTCTCATATCAATAATACCTCCACATGCCCAATGATACATTTCACACAAAAGACATTTCCAAATAGGTCAACCAGCCTCATCCAGGCCCCACCCAAGGCACTCACAGATCAACACCCCAGCGCTATACTAACTCAACACATCCAGATCTAAGCCTTCATCACTTGATTCAGCAGACCGTCAAGTTCCCACAAAAGTTTCCAGCCATGTCTGAGAGGCAGCCGTGGGGCAGGGGCAGGCGAGGAGCGAGCTGCTCTGGGCCTGGCTGCTCCGGGCCTGGCCTCTGTTACTCTGGTTTGTTCCACAATCAGCTGCTCCGGGTCTGGTCACTGCCGCTCCCGACCTAGTTGCTCTGGACTTGGCTGCTGCTGCTCCGGGCCTGGCCGCACACGACCCGGCTGCTCTGGGCTCGGCTGCTCCGGGCCCGGCCGCTCCCAGCCCGGCAGCTGCTGCTCCGGGCCTGGCCACACCCGACCCGGCTGCTCCGGGCCTGGCCGCTCCCAGCCGGCCTGGCCGCACCAGAGCCAGCTGCTCCGGGCCTGGCCGCTGGGCGACAGCCTTATTTGACTAGACTTGTAAAATTGCAAAAGCCTCTGTGCTCAGCTTAGATGGGGCGGAGTTTCAGGGTGGAGCAGACAGCCTTGGCTTCCTGTCAGGCCTGCCCTATCGCTGCAAGCACCTTTGAGAGAAAGGTGCCCTTGAATTTCGCCCGCTGCCAGACAGTCTAATCTTTCCCCCAATGAATCTGGATTCCCAGATTCTTACCGGGAACTGGGGTTCAGCACAGTCTGGAGCTTTTGTCTCTTCCCACTAGTGCAATCCAGTGGCACAGTCAACCATTTGCCCTCTGTGCGCATTCAGGTGCATGCCTCCGGAATTCTGCCTTTTGCCACTCCCCTGAGTTTCCACCTTACAGCCCAGATTCTGGGGTCTCGCCTGGAACTGGGGTTTAGTGCAGTAGGAACTAGTGTTCAGCGCAGTTTGGAGCTTTTATCTCCTTGCTGCTAGAGAACACCAGCCAGGCACTCAGCCGCCCCGTCCTCTCCGGCTCTGTCCTCTCCCCACATGCGCACTATGTCTCAGTACTTTAGGCTTTTACAGCTCCTCTGATTTTCCTTGTGGTTTTCTCTTTCCTTCTAGTTGTAGAATTTCCAGTCAGTCAGCTTTCCTATGGTTCTGGACGATGTCTGTTTTGTCTTTTAGTTGTAGTTTTGAAATTGTTGTACGAGGTTGTAGTTTAGGTGTTTACCTATGCCGCCATCTTGGTTTCTCCTGTTTTGTTGATGTTAGCCATTCTGACAGGTGAGAGATGGTATCTCATTGTCATTTTGATTTGTATCTCTCAGATGATTAGAGACTTTGAACATTTTTTTCATATGTATCTTGGCCATCTGTATGTCCTCTTTGGAGAAGTGTCTATTTAGGTCCATTGCCCATTTTTTATTGTATTGTCTTCCTTTTGTTAAATTGTCTGAGTTCCTTATATATTTTGGATATTAACTTTTTATCAGATGTATCATTGCCAAGTATGTTCTCACATAGAGCTCTCTTTTCATTTTGTTGATGGTTTCTTTTGCTGTGCAAAAGCTTTTTTATTTTGATGTCGTCCCATTTATTTATTTTCTCCTTAGTTTCTTTTACCTTAGGAGATATATCAGAAAACATATTGCTACAAGTCATGTCTGAGGTTTTGCTGCCTATGGTTTCTTCTGATATTTATGGTATCATGACAACATTTAAGTCTTTTATCCATTTTTAATTTATTCTTGTGTATGGTGCAAGTTGGTGGTCTAGTTTCTTTTTTTTTTTGCATGTATCTGTCCAATTTTCCCAACACCATTTATTGAAAAGACTATCTTGACTCCAATGTATGGTCTTTCCTCCTTTATCAAATACTAATTAAGAATAATAGCTTGGGTCGATTTTTGAGTTCTCTGTTCTGTTCCATTGATCTATATGCCTGTTCTTGTGTCATTACGAGGCTGTTTTGATTACAGTGGCTTTGTAATATAACTTGAAATCTGTTATTGTGATCCCTCCAACTTTGTTTTTCTTTCTCAAAATAGTTGCAGCTACTCAAGGTTTTTTTTGATTCCATATAAATTTTTAGAGTATTTATTCTAGCTCAATGAAATATGCCATTGGTATTTTAATAGATATTACATTGAATCTGTAGATTGCCTTGGATAGTATGGACATTTTAATGATGTTGATTCCATTTCTTATTTTCTATCAAGTATACCAGGAGTATTATTAAGTCTTCGTTTTAAATGTCAGAGTTTAAAAAAATATTGAGTCTGTTTTACAAATCTACTACCCTGTTTCCCCAAAAATAAGACAGTGTCTTATATTAATTTTTGCTCCCAAAGATGCGCTAGGTCTTATTTTCAGGGGATGTCTTATTTTTCCATGAAGAAGAATACGGTACACATTTATTGTTAAATGAAAATAAAGGAAATTTATTATCTGTATACGATACAGTAGTACAGTAGTTGTCAACACAAACCAGACAAACTATGAATCCTACAGTATCAAGAATTTACTCATTTATTCAATGACAATCATGTCATCATCTTCTGGAACATCATCATAACAATCTAATTCCTGAATTTCCTGGTGAATTTCTTGTGACTCCATTTCTTTCAGAATCAGTGGACCAAATCTCTCATGTTCAGCCTGGAGGGGGGCTTTATTTTGGGGGGGAATGCCTTATATTTCACTCAGAAGGAAACCTGTAAGTAGGTCTTATTTTCGGAGGATGTCTTATTTTCGGGGAAACACAGTATATAAATACAAGACAATATATTTTCAAAATTCTTTTGTCCTATCAGACAAAAGTTTACTTTGCTATTATTCATCCTTTAAAAGAAGGGAATCATGTCATATACAATCATTTGTTGAACCTTCAGGACATTGTGCTAAATAGCCAGTCACAAAAGGACAAAACTTCTTGATTCCACTTATATGAGTTATCTAAAACAATCCAAACCTAGACACAGAAAATAGAATAGTGGTTGCCAGAACCTGGGGAAGGAGGGAATTGGGGAGTTGTTATTCAATCTGTATAACATTTCAATTATACAGTTTAATTACATTTTAGAGATCATATTCTGTACCATGTTGTGCCTATAGTTAACAATACCTTATTGTACACATTGTTAAGAGGGTAGCTCTCATGTTAAGTGCTACCATCTATTTTTTTTTAAACCAATGAATTTTGTGAAAAAAGTGTAAAAAAGGAAGACATTTTCATAGATTTCTTAGTAGTTACAGAATAGTCATAGGGATATAAAGTACTATATAGGGAATAGAGTCAATAAAATTTTAATAACTATGTATGGTGTCCACTGGGTATGAGATTTATCAGGATAATCACTTAGTAAGTTATATTATGTCTAATCACTGGGGTGTATACCTAAAACTAATATAATATGTCAACTGTAATTAAAAAGTTAAAAGTGATTAAAAATAAAATAAAACTATTTTAGGTTTTTTAAATGCAGGAAATACTTCCATTCATATTATATAAAAATACTATTTTCTACCAAAATCATAATGCATAATTTTATAATCAGAATATAGCTGATTGAAACCTCAGAACTCCCCTTCCATTGAATGGGGAAACAAATCAATCTAAACAAAACCTACTGACACACACAAAATCAGTAGTATCAAACCTACCGGATCAACAGTAGGCAAGACATCTTTCTTTTCCAGGCCGTCGACTTCATCTTCATCCGTGCTATACTCCTCCATTGTCTCACCACTAACAAAGTGGATGACTCTCCTTGGGACCTTCTTCTTTTTTCCAATGACTCCCAGTTCTACATTTTCAAAGCTTCTTTCATTACTCATCTAATGTTGATAATAAAGTAAGAAAATGAGAGTTTCAGGTGAGATTAATATTCATTCTTATAACAAAAAATATTCCAGGTTGCTTTATTTTAAGGAATAAAGAACATAAGCCAATTCTTAAACAGTTAAAAAAAAAAGAAACAGATCATATACACATAAAAGCATCAATAGCATCTAAAAAGAGTTTAATAAAGCAAACATCTGCATACTCAATAACAAGGTGAAAAAAACAGAACTTAACCAATTAAGTTTAATTTTGTTTAAGTCAACAGCTAAGAAATCAAGCACACTTCAAGTCATAGCAATTCCAATACTGTATAATAGTGAAGACATTCTGAACATCAATCATTTTAAAGACTAACATTATGGCTGAATTAATGTGTAATATCAAGAGAAAATCATTTGACACATACACGTTAAATACCGTACATAAAATAACAGTTTATATTAAGAAAGTCTAATAAGTCTTTGAATTTGAGCTTAGCTATGTGTGAGCAAAACAAAACTAATTCAGCTTAATTCTGAAGCTCTCCTTTTCACAAAACAGGAGTCCTAAATTCAAATGACTTTTAGAGCCAAATAGGAACCAAAATAAATCAAGCTACAGATGGCAGGATAGATGCTTTAGAGAAAGCATGACTCAAATAAAGACATTAAATTGAAAATAATTTTAAAGCACTGTGCAGGTCAAATAAAATGCATTTGTAAACCAGATCTGGAAACAGGCCATCAGTGTTTTATCTCTGACCTTTCAGATTTCTTAGTCAATAAGATACAGGTGACAATAGAGTTTTCCTGATAATAAAATATTTTACAAACTTTTATTAAAGTATCGATATAATACTTAAGTCCACAGAATTCTAATTATATCCAAGTTCCACTCCTACATATATATAGCCATGTGCCAAACTCAGAGTAAGTGCAAACTATGGGAGAATATAAGTAACTTTTTTTTTCCCTTTCACCTTGCCTCAAGTTTAAATTCCTAAGAAAGCCTTCATTGAATCTTCTTACCTGAAGATTTTGAAAAGGCACAATAGTAATAATTGTGAGGGGGGAAAAATCTGGCAACAGTGAAAATGGGGGAGGAGGTATAGGTAAGGGAATGGTCAAGGGGGCTTTTTATTCACGTTTTTTGTTTTTGTGATGAGCATATGCTCATATATTACTGATACAATTTTAAAAGTAAACCAAAGGAAAATGATACAGGACTACAGGACTGGCACGATTAGAATCCATGTCTATAGGATTCTCTAGGATAGTCCAGAGTTTAAAAATTTTGTCCTCTATAAGGATTCTTAAACTGGTAAATATGACCAAACATAACTTAAATCCATGATTACTGTTCAAATACTAGTTAAGTTTTCTGAACTACATTTAAAGAGATGGGACTGTACTGATAACAGTGGACTAGAATTACCAAGTTATGTAAGTATAAATAACTTTACTTTTATGCATTGTTCCTCTTAATCTTCTAAGGTCCCTCTTAGAAAATAGATATGGTTCTTCTGTGTCATTCACTTGCCAAAAGTAAATTTAGTAATTAGCCAGGATTTGAATCAAGATACAGTATATTCAACCCAAAGAATTCAGGCATTCATTGTTCCATTAAGCACATGGTCATTACTGACAGAACTATCACTGCTGTATATCCTAGTAGCAAACTGAGATCATGAAAACTCTGCTAGCATGGGCTATCTATGAATTAATCTTTTAAAATAAATTTATTAGCCTGTCCCAAGGGCTCAAACAAATCCCAGCCCTTAATAAAAAAACAAACAAAAAAAACAAAACACCACAATATATTTATTGTGTCCATAGCCATATGTTGACTATCCACATCTCCTTTCTTCTATCCCTGATCCCTAGCCCCAGGAAGTCCTTCCTACTCATTCTCATATTACCCCTTGGTATAAGATTTAGTTTGGATTGTCTTGACATCAAAGTCTCCTTTTGGACAATGACTTTTTGGATTCACTTATAGACAAGGAAAAGTCAGAAGAGCTGGTTTAGATTTCCAGTCATTATATTAACTAAACGGATCTGACGCCAAAGCAACAATCCCTGTCAGTGAATAGAGCAGAGACCGTTCACAGTATATCACCATGCTCCCTTTGACCCCAACCCAATCTCATCAGAGCAGAAGCAGCTTCTCACGACTCCCTAAGCAATCTCTCAGTGGCTCAACTACTGTATCTTTTCTCAACAACTTAAATAAATCAGAACACTCCGGCTAGGTCATAACAATATATAACTTAGCTACTATCTCTATGACTCGGTTATATTCTTTTCAAAACATTTTTTAAAAAAATCTGCCCAGCTGGCATGGCTCAGTGCTGAGCACTGACCTATGAACCAGGAGTTCACCTGGTCAGGGCACATACCCGGGTTGTGGGCTGGAAACCCAGTAGGGAGCGTGCAGGAGGCAGCAGATCAATGACTTTCATCATTGAAATTTCTATCTATCTCTCCCTTTCTCCCTAAAATCAATTAAAAAATATATATTTTTAAAAGGCATTTTATTTGCTCTAATAATTACGTTTTGTATAAAGATTTTTTACTAACGAGACTTTTATTTAAGGACTTTTCTTTTTTTAATATTTTTTTATATATATAACAAAACCCAAGTTTTATCATCTTAAGCATGAATGAGCAAACTTTTCTTGTAAAGGCCAGAAAGTAAATATTTTATGCTTTGCAGCTATAGTTTCTGTCCCAACTACTGAACTCTGCAAAAGCAGCCACAGACAATCCATAATGAATGGGCATAACTTTGTCCTAATAAAATTTTATATAAACTGGTGGTTGGTAGGATCTGGCCCATAGCTTATAATTTGTTAACCTCTCTTCTGAAATCAGATTGGCAAATTTAAAAATCTGTGAAAGGGCTTGGCCAATGTGGCTCAGTTGGTTGAGCATCATATCATGACCTGGAAGTTTCCTGATAGATTCCCCTCAGGGCACATGTCTGGGTGTAGGAGGCAGCCAATAGATGTCTCTCTCTCTCCCTCTTCCTTCTCTCTGAAATCCGTTTCTTTAAAAAAAAAAAACACAAAAAACATATTTTTTTTTAATCTGTGAAAGAACCTATGACATGTTAATTCCAACCTCTTCTTGAGGTGGGGGAGTCAGTAATAGAAGGTAGTTGAAAACCAACCAGAAAGTGGTTTGGTACAAAATTTCCAACAATTATAAATAGAATTTATTTTCTGAATTTCGCAAACGTTTTGTTTTTACAATAAAACAGTAATCTGCAAATAAAAATGGTACTGTCAATTATACAAATTCTCTTTTAACAAACTGCATATATGTGAAAATAGTTGTATGTGTTTTTTAATATATTTTATTGATTTTTTTTACAGAGAGAAAGGGAAGGGATAGAGTTAGAAACATTGATGGGAGAGAAAGATTGATCAGCTGCCTCCTGCACACCCACTATCGGGGATGTGTCCGCAACCAAGGTACATGCCCTTGACCAGAATCAGAACCGGGACCCCTCAGTCCGCAGGCTGAAGCTCTATCCACTGAGCCAAACCGGTCTTGGCTGAAAATACAGTTTTTAACAACAGGAAATTATGAAATGTAATGTCATAAAAAAATGTTATACGTTTGATTATATTTTATAGTTAACCAGTCTGTAATTCTGCTTTCTTGTTCCTCAGTGCCTGTTTTTAATGGCAATATGCTTTTTATAAACTCCCATGGCACCCAGAACTTCTTTAAAACATGTCCTTTCCCAATTAGGTGGTTAGCAACATACGAGTAGGAACAGTGTGTATCCTTCATTGCTCTATTCTTTAGCCTATAGCTCCTGGCACATGGTTAAGTGCTTGGTAGCAGAGCTGCTAAATTAGGGGTGTCGAACTCAATCAGAGAAGGGGCCAAAATCTAAAATCCAGCCTAAATCGCGGGCCGAATGGTTTACTGAACAGTCATAAACTGTCATTGTGATGGAAACGCAGTGGAGTGCAGTGATGACAGCACGGTGCGGGCCACATTGCAAGGCCTGGCGGGACGGATTTGGCCCTCGGGCCTTGTGTTTGACACATGTGTGCTAAATAATGCTAAATGAAGTAGTAGTGAAATTTTAATTCTTTTAATTCTAATTCAGTCTAGTCAGAGAAGCTGCTGGTTTCTAGCCTAATGCTAAACACAAACCTAAGCTCCTATTTCTTTCTTTCTTTTTTTTAATATATATTTTATTGATTTCGGAGAGGAAAGGAGAGGGAGAAAAAGAAACATCAATGAGAGAGAGTCACTGATCAGCTGTTTCCTGCACGCCCCCTACTGGGGATCAAGCATGTGCCCTTGACTGGAATCGAACCCAGGTCCCTTCAGTCCACAAGCTGATGCTCTATCCACTGAGCAAAACTGGCAAGGGCCAATCTCCTATTTCTTACACCATTCCCTACACTTGGAACTTCAAAGTTCTGACAAACTAATAAAGGAGTACAGGATGACAGCCTCTCCTTCTGTGGAGAGGGCAGCAAATCTCCACCTCACCGACCTCTTCCATTTCTGTGGTCAAACCCCGAGGTACAGATGTGGAGTTCCCAAAGATGTTTCTGCTTCAGGAATGTGTGAATGAGAGAGCAAGAAGAGAAAGTTAGAAAAGTAATTTGTATAGTATAAACCCATGTTTGTTTAATAAGAAAGATTATTATATATGCATAGGAAATCCCAGAAAGAATATACCAGAAACTTAGTTACTTTAGGAGAATATGAATGTGAGGAACAAGTAATGGTGGGATTCCTATGACTTCATACTTTTTGCTCTGGGGTCTTCTTTACTGTTTAACTATTTATTTTATTATTTTTTTAAACAAGGATATGAAAACAACATAATGTCACCAACCCAAAACAAAGAGCATCCCCCTCAATGGTTTGGCTCAGTGGATAGAGTGTCAGCCTGAGGACTGAAGGGTCCCAGGTTTGAGTCTAGTCAAAAGCACATGCCCAGATTGTGGGCTCGATCCCCAGTGGGGGGAGTGCAGGAGGCT